CATTAAGTTCTATAACTCCGCTATTCTTTGAGAGAAACTCTTCCTCTAAGAAAACAACATTCCTCGAAACAAACACATTTTGTTCCGAAGGGTCATAGAAATAGTATCCAATAGACTCTTTTGGATACCCCACAAATTTACATAAGATGGATCTCATATCCAACTTACCTCCCACTAACTGCTTCACATAAGCAGTACAACCCCATACTTTTAAATACTTGTACGAGGGTGTTTTGCCACACCATATCTCATAAGGTGTGCTAAGTACAGCTTTACTTGGCACTCTATTCAAAATATGTGATGTTGTTTCTAAGGCATAGCCCCAAAATGAAAGAGGTAAACTAGTGGAACTCATCATTGATCGAACCATGTCCAACAATGTTCGATTCCTCCTTTCTGAAACCCCATTGAGTTGTGGAGTTCCAGGAGGTGTCCACTGTGAAATAATCCCATTATCTCTTAAATAATCAAGAAACTCATTGGTAAAATATTCACCTCCTCAATCTGATCGAAGAACTTTTATACTACGACCAATTTGTTTCTCTACTTCATTTCTGAATTCTTTGAACTTTTCAAATACTTTAGATTTGTACCTTAATAGGTATACATAACCATACCGTGAATAATCATCAGTAAAAGTTATGAAATAGTAGTAGTTCCCCTTGGCACTAACATTTAGTGGTCCACAAACATCTGTATGGATCAAATCCAACAGACCTTTAACCTTTCCTCTCCCCTAAGGTCGAGTTTTGGTCCCAATGTGTTAATCTTTTTTTCAGATATATGACCTAATCGAGCATACCAAAGTTTGAATGAACTATGATTATCTAATTTTCTTTTATTTTGTTAAATAGTTAGGATGGGACTTTGTGGTGTAATGGTATATAACCCATTTGTCAAATTTCCGGAATATATAAAAGTTGTATCTTTGAAAATGGAACATCTTCCATTCTCAATAACAAACTTAAAACCTTCTCTATCCATTACTGGAATAGAAATAATGTTTCTTATAACATCCGAAACATATAAACAATTTGTAAGACAAATTTTTACATCATTATTTAAAGCTAGATAAACAGTCCC